TCTTCAAGTGGCTGTGTTGGACAAATCTTAAAAAATTAAGACAAATAGATGTCTAGCAAGTTCGCGGAACAGGACATGCAGCTGCAGCAGCAGCATCGGCGCCGCCTCGCAGAACGCGTGCACCAGCCGGAGCATGCCTGGGGGGTCATCATCATCATCAGGTCATTTATTTACCATAAGAACATCAGGTGCAAAAGCATCTCCATTGCTGGACAAACGTGGATTACGCGGGAACATTTTTCAAGTGGATGTATTAGGGAGGCAATACAGTGACTGTTTCCGTAAGAAATAACTGGATGACGCCTCTGTTCAGTAGTGGTACCAATGATCTTGATGAATTTTTGATGCAGACCGATAGTTCCCTGCTGGAAGTCGATGTTCTGTGTTTAGCAGTGCTCGTATGTTACTTACTTACAGTTGGTGCTTGACGCGCCGCAGCTCCACTAGCACTCTTAGTGAACTTGGACGAGAACGCCTCAAAGTGACCCTCGACCGTTCTTCCAAAAGCGAAATGACTGAAAAGAAGTTACTTACACAGGTCCCGCACTTGGTGCTTAACCCGTCGCAGTTCCACTGGCACCAGTAGCCGCGCGTACCGCCACAGCACGCCGAGCTGGAGGCAGTGTAGTACCACAGGCAGCCAGGGCGCGCGCCCCTTGGTAAATGAGGTAAAAAGCATAAAAGCTGGCTCTCTATTCAATGCAGTCATCAAAAGACAGTCTCCGCTAGAAAAAGGAGTGACGTTTTCAGCTGACGACTGATCTAAGATGACCAATCACCTGGTTGAAACTCATTAAATTGGTTGATGCCGCCCGAAGTTCCCTGGAAGTAAAACCCTTTCTTTAACAGTGCTAAGTTACTTACACAGGTCCCGCACTTGATGCTTCACCTGCCGTAGCTCCACTGGCACCAGTAGCCGCGCGTACCGCCACAGGACGCCGAGCTGGAGGCAGTGCAGCACCACAGGCAGCCAGGGCGCGCGCCCCTTGGTTAATGAGGTAGAGAGCATACAAGCTGGCTCTCCATTCAACGCAGTCATCAAAAGACAGTCTCCGCTAGAAAAAGGAGTGACGTCTTCAGCTGTGACGATTGATGGAAGATGACCAATCACCTTAATGAAACTCATTAAATTGGTTGATGCCGCCCGGTTGCCCCTTGCTGGAAGTGAAAAACCCTGTTTTAGCAGTGCTAAGTTACTCACACAAGTCCCGGACTTGGTGCTTCACGCGCCGGAGCTCCACTGGCACCAGTAGCCGCGCGTACCGCCACAGCACGCCGAGCTGGAGGCAGTGTAGTACCACAGGTAGCCAGGGCGCGCGCCCCTTGGTTAATGACACAGATATAGGTATATCTATATCTGTGGTTAATGAGGTAGAGAGCATACAAGCTGGCTCTCCATTCAATGCTGTCATCAAAAGACAGTCTCCGCTAGAAAAAGGAGTGACGTTTTCAGCTGACGACTGATGGAAGATGACCAATCACCTTAATGAAACTCATTAAATTGGTTGACGCCGCCCGATTGTTCCTTGCTGGAAGTGAAACCCTGTCTTTAACAGTGCTAAGTTACTCACACAGGTCCCGCACTTGATGCTTGACACGGCGTAGCTCCACTGGCACCAGTAGCCGCGCGTACCGCCACAGCACGCCGAGCTGGAGGCAGTGCAGCACCACAGGCAGCCAGGGCGCGCGCCCCTTTCGGCCCTCGCCCGCCCACCACACGTGTAGGTACCAGCGGAGAGAGAGCACCTGGATTCAAGATATTAAACCTTATGTTAGTAAAGAATAAGGTAGGTTTTCGGGTTCTAGTAGGAGAGGAACTGGGTTGTTTTTATTGGTGTTCAAGCTGATTCTAGCATTCCTCGCCATGTGCGTGTCCAGGGTTGGGCAGCGGTTCCCCTTTGAAGGAACCAACTCAAACTACCTGACCTAAAACATCTGGTCAGAAGCTGGGTATGACCTGCCCCCCTTCTAGGTCAGAAGCTGAGTAGGTACGCCCATGTTCCATACAGGAATTGCAAAATCAACTCAAAATCAAAAATATTTATTCAATTTAGACCACAAGTGGCACTTATGCTGCAGAGGGAACAATAATACATAGTTCCAGTTCGATGGTCTCATGTTGAAAACAAAGTTGATGAGGCTTAAGAATTTCTCTCCCAGTCAACCTTTGGGCTAAACAGTTTTATTTTTAACTTAATGCTATGTGTTCAAAAATCATGTTTTCGTGTTCAAATAGACGACAAACCTGCGAAATAAGCAGCGACGTGATGACAATCGATATAGCGGCTGCGAAGGTGCCCTTATACCCGCGTTCCAGCAGCGCGTACCCCATGACCACGTCGAACACCACGTCGCAGAAGTAGCCCGCCAGCGAGATCACGTTGAAGAGCACGTCGCACAGGGGGAGGAACTCCGCCATTTCGGTACATCGCAATTTCAGTGCTAGCTCAACTTGAAACTGTGGTGATCTCGCATTATTTTCGAATTTTCGCTACCTGGAGGAAGATGAAAGATTTATTTCTGCAATCGCAAGATGCGTGATAGGAAACGCGAAACGTTCCATTCTTCAATCAAACATTAACCATTTTTTGGACTCGCTAATTACTACCAATTTTTATATTGTTTAGTTATTTAATCAAATTAATACACTACGAAATCGTATTTTAATGGCCGTGCACGTCGATAGGCAAAACTTTTTTTTTTAATTAGAAACTCCGTGGAACGGAACGCATTTTTGACGCGGCTGACGTTTATGACAGTTCTCGTTCGAGTTTCACGTCACTTTTGTTGCTAATTTTATTTTCCTTCCGTTTCTCTTCTAGATATTTCTGTATTAAATTCGTAACTCAACTGATAATGTCTAATTATACTGATTTAGTTAGTAAATTCGGCAAGGAGACTTCAAGAGCTGCTTGCAAAAAGTGTGGTTATGCTGGCCACCTCACATTCCAATGTAGAAACTTTATCAAAGTAAGTTTTTATTTATAGTTTTCAATACTCTCAACTAGTTAAATAAACTAATTATATATTTTTTAGATTATAAGACAGCTAAGAAAACAATCACAGAAATGTACTTTTTTTTTCTGTTCAACACAACATGGCATTGCAATACTAATTAAACAATTTTGTTGTCATTAGGTAGACCCAAACAAAGAGATAGTGTTAGATGTGAGTAGCACAAGCAGTGACAGTGAGCAGGAATATGCAACTCCGCTGCAGACTCTGCGGGAGGCTGAACTACGGCAGAAGCTGCAGGAAAAACTACAGAAGGCTAAAGAAAAGAAAAAGAGTAAAAAGCGCAAGAGGTAAACAACTAGTAATTAGACATTACAGAAATTATTATTTAATCATATTCATTCTGATAAATTCCAAAGCCATTGTTGAGCAGTTTTTCTGTCAATACTAGTTCCACTTACTTTATGAATGGCCGAATATATATAATTAATTACTGAGACAAATTCTTTTTATTATTTTAATTAATACCATAAATTAGATGCTCATTTACTTTGCTCAAAGCCATTTTTGTCATAACTTATGACTGGTTTTTAAAACAGAAATTTTGTTTCAACAGATCATCAAGTACTTCAAGCACCACTTCATCGTCATCATCATCATCATCTTCCACTTCATCAGACAGCAGTGACTCAGATAGAAAGAAGAGAAGGAAACACAAAAAGAAAGAATCAAAGAAGTCGAAAAAATCTAAGAAATCTCGTAAAGATAAGAAAAGTAGAAAATGACATTTAAGAAATAAGATTTAGGTCTAATTTAACTGTGTGTGACCCATGTGGCAGGGAACTTATTAGCAATAATCAAGGCTGACTATTAAAAAAGTTGTGTTGGTTTTTAGACAAATATTTGTGTGTAGGCCATAAATAATTGACTGATTTTACAATAAGTGTATTGAATAATGTTAAGTTTCCATTATACTACCACATTAATATCAATGAGTTGTACACAATCTGTGTTATTATCTCTGTTATGAATCTTTTTTCTGTGTTTTATTATTTTGTTATGGCACTAACGATTAGATAGTATTGCAGTCTTGAGATGAGAAGAATCATTACAGTTTGTACATTTTTATATTTTGTATGTAGCATACAATGAAGAATCAATAGTCTATTTTAAATTTTACAAACAGTACATTTACTGGTAATATGGAATACCTATGTATTACTAATTGAACATGCCTAAATGAATTTTATTATAGTAAACAAATTTGAACCCTATTTTAAGCAATAAATAAATACCTCAGCATGTAAAATATGTGATGTTAACCAGCAACGAATAAACATAAATCAGAAAACATTTTGTTATTAATTCATATTAATAAATACCACAATATTTTTTTTTACATATAGCATCTAATAGAGATGTATGATTTGCCTTTGTTTATATAAATGAATGTGGCTCTTAAGTTAATATTTATTTGGATTAGATAAATAGAAAGGATTCTTTAGCCAGATAAATAAGTAAATAAAAGCTATTTTAGCTATATTCTGTTAAAAATATTAAACAGTTGATTACAGCTAATTAAAGTCTTGATTTTACTTGTTATGTACATAGAAAGAGTTATTTCAAATTAGTTGGTCAATTGAAGAGGAAAACTGATTAATTTTCTATTAGTTTAATAAAGAAATGAATCGTAATTTGTATGTAGGTTTAAAATATATTAAATTACAAAGCAGCACTTGAAATGCAGGTTTTGCCTACACTTTCTTTGGACCAAAACACCCCATAGCTACTGATAGAAAGTAGGGTACACACTTCACTTTCCCCATTATTAAAAATGTTTGTTTTCCCACGCACTACAACTTATTTTCAATACAAATAGGTTGAGACATAAGTTTTTCTGATAAATCGAGGCATTCTCATAGAAAAAGTAACATTACTCACCATAGATCCTGTGGAATTTCAGCGTTTTCTCCCAAATTAAGCCCCAAGATATATTGTTGCGGGGGTTTAAAACAAACTAAAGCATTTCTCACGTATTGTATTTTAATTAAATTACAGTTTGTTATCAGTTCCCACGGCTATCACTATTCACATCACACAAAAAGCTTAGATATTTTGGTTAAGTTATTCAAGTTCCAATCAAGTTCACGTCAAAAGTTCATTGATGGTGTCGCCATCTAGCGGCCGGTATGCGGAACGCGTGAAAGCTCGATCGATCAACAGGTGCGTTCACGAGATTGCTAATTCACTTCATACTTGACTGCGTTCACACAAAAAATAATAAGTATTTTTTAACAAAAACAAAATGTTATGTTAAGTGTTCTTTTAACAGTTGAGCATAGTTTTTACGGGTTAAGAAGTGCTTGATAACGAGATCTTGATCAGTCATGTGTCGTTTCGGTTTCTTCCAATGTGCCGTGATCGGTGTCCTGAAAACAAGCATTAAAATAAAAGTATACTTTACCTACTTGGGTTTGATTTGAAGTTGCTCTATCAAGCAAGAAGCACTATAATGCACGCTACTTTGCTGGTTTTGTTATGTGGGTAGTTAGATAATATCACAGATAATATATAATATGTTCACCTTTGACAGTACACTGAGCAGGCGCCGAGTAGCCTCAAGAACCCTGGCAGCGCGAACTCAAGAGACGCATCCTCCATGGCGATGGTTTTGATCAGCTGGACGGGGTCAGCTTTCATGGAAGACATGTTGCAGATCGAAGCCTGTGAGTTTGAATTTGAATTTGAATTTGAAAAAATTTGAATTTTCAAATTATTTTATTCTGACTACCCAGTATCTAGACTAGATCCGTTGTTTCGGGGGGTCACCTGTGAGCATGGCATTGTCCACACCGCGACGCCGCGCCGAGCATTTTATAAAGTTCATGATCATCGTGGTGAAATTTAAAGCGAAAAATTTGATCCTTGGCGTAGAAATGTTAAAATTTGGTTTGTTTCACTTGATATTGAGTAGGTAAGTGCTCTAACGGAAGGTTTGCCACGCATATTACAAGAGCGAGCATGCGACAAAAAATGCCACGTAACGTAACTTAGTAATAAGGAGACAAATCAAATCAAATAATTTATGTGTAAAACAATGGGAATCTTAAAGGGGTTTAAGTAGCTAGTTGTTGTTGTACTCCACCTTGGTCTCTCCTACATTTCTGAAATTTGTGTGATTTTTGGTCCTACTTTGAGTACTACCCGATTCTTCGCTATCCCAGCAGTTTCAAGATTCCCGAAGGTACCTCACGAACGTACCTCAGTAAAGGCAGACACGTCGTGCCTCTGCCTCTCTAGCGACGTGACGAAGCTCTTGGTGATGACCTGGCACTGGTTGCTGACGTGCCTCACGCACAGCTTGTACGTGTTCCTGCTTTTGATGGGACAGCTCCTTTCAATCTGCGAAGTTGCTCTTGTTGCCTAAAATTGATAAAAAATAAGTTGCAACGACAGTTTTCTCATTGATGGCATGTGCCACAGATAAAATCGCAAGTTAACTGGTAGAGGATGCCTTTTCGCATTATGTTCACCTTTATTACCATGGCCGAAAGCCAAATCAGAATCAAATCAATGATCAGTCAAGGTCAGGACCCGACTGGAAGGCTTTGAGGCCAAACTGGGTACCCTGCAGAACTCCACAGAGGTCTTAGGCGCTGATGAGATTAATCATCTGATTGCCAATACTGAGTCTTACCTTCATTACGTCGTTTAAAAAGAACAGTGCCTTCTTATGGTAGCTCTTGAACATCTTCATCAAGATCTTCTTCATGTGGACCACGAGGTCCTTTTGCGTCGGCACTTCGTAAGGGCCGATGCTCAGAGGTACCTCCTCTTCGGGGCAAACGTAGGGCTTGTAGGGCGCGTTGTTGAGCAGGGGCTCTTGAGTAGTGGTAGTTGTCTAAAATGGAAGGTTCCTTTGAAATAAATTAAGATACGTCATAGGTAAGAAACCACAAATTTGCAAAAAATTGCGATATTCCCAAAAGCGTCACAGTACCTAAAGAAAAGTTTGGGAAGCCCTAACTTAGAGAATATAATTTATGATATCTTCATCTTCTTCTTCCCAGTCGTTACGCTTTGTTGTTGTGGGTGGATGTTACTGGCGTTAAGATGTCTCGCCCAGTAGCGGCGTAAGGGGGGGGCGGGGGCGGTGGGGGCGGTCCGCCCCGGGTGCCAAGCATCAGGGGGTGACACAAGTCGCGCAGATTAGTACTCACTGGCACATCTGCATGGCAAATCTGGTCTATGTCCAATCTTTGAATCGGTAGGTAACCCCAAAATCCTAGGGGGGTACCAGGGGGTGTCATAGGACTTGTGACGGATGGGCGATCGCCCCGGGTGCCGACCCATGCTACGCCGCCACTGGTCTCGCCATCTTTGCCTGTTGGTGGTTATCTTGGTGTATTCATGCATTATGAATATCTGGTTCAACAGCCATTTAAAGCATTAACAAACTTACCTTTGTCATAGTAGTTTCAGTACTAGCCATGGTACTTATTTCAGGGAGTTGGATTTCTTCCCAACTGGTCGAGGTCTTCGCCGTGGTATGTAACGTCGTAGTTGATGGTGATGACGTCACTGTGTTGGGGTATATGGCTTTCAGGTCGAAGCCAGGGAATATCTCATATTCAGCCGAGCTGCGGCAGAAGCTCAACTTGAAGATAACTATAGTGTCTGTAAAAATAAACGTAGGTAATAAATAAAACTTTAGGCTTTACTTAGGCGTTTTGTTGTACCGAAATACTGGCGACGTAGCGAGACAGAGTGGCTACAACAGGCTACGCTTACTTATTAAGTAAACTACGGACTGCTTAAGGTGACGTTAGAACGTAAGTTTAATCTTAAAACATTTAATAGTTAGTCAAATTAAAATTTTAGGAGACACGAAAGTTCAGGTCAATTACCAGACATGCATTAAATTTTAATTAAGTATGTAACCAACTGATAGTAAGTAGATCGTTAAGTACATAATATTTTCTCCAGAATGGCGGCGTCGGTTACCCTTAAGTTTGTTTAAAAACGTTGTGTGATAAAAAAACAAGCAAAGCAATAATAGTATAATGGCTAGTTAAAACTAAAATGAAACCACTTACACAATCCCAAACACCGCAGCAAGCCCATAATAACAGCTGTTTAGGTTAAACCAGCTAAGTCCTGTAATCCGGCGGTGGAGCTGGTGGTCACGCACGACTATAACTCTACAACTTTATTTATTATGAAGCTCCTAAAGTTTCAAGTTGAAGGTATTTTACTTCGAGGTAGACATTAATTTATAAATAAATGTTAACTACTGATTTTCATCAATAAAACACCCCGTTACTTAATTCACTTTGCTTATTTCTTTTACACCTTTACCTGTTGTAATTTGTACACATTAATTTACTTTATTTTTACAAGTCACATCACAAACAAGTACTTAATAAGAAGCTCTATTTTTTTCAGTCATAGAATGGTCATAGATAAGTAAAGAAAGATTTCACATTTACGAGATAATGGGAAAATATTTCCATCGCCTTTCCCTAAAAAAAATCAAGTAAATTGCTAGCAAGAGCAACCGATAGTGGTATAACGTTCGATCGGTCTACTAATACCAATGAAATGTTTGGAGCGTAATAATGTTTGTTCAACAACGCTCAGTAAGAGGTGCTACAATACTACTTCGTCATGTTTTCAAGTAAAGTAGGCAATATCAACAATTTCAGATGGTCTTTACCATTATTGGTCTAAAATAACTCAATTGTTTTAATTTACTACTTTGTTTTGGTCTATAAAAATAAATGACTGACTAAGTATGACACTAGTATTATATTATCTGTGGTATGACCTATCTGGCATGGAGGAATTATTTCATTATCTAAATAAGCGGTCTGGTAAGACTTTAATTAAAAAAAATATTTAAAATAGATGCCGGTATAGTAAGGAGGTCTTACATAACTGATAATTATTATCATGCTACTGTCCACTAAACTAGGAAAAAATAATCATGTTGACGTAAAGCCTTTATTGAATAAACGAATAAGTTGTTGGCATGGTTACGTAAGACTGTCGCTATGGCAACGTATTTATTTACCAAATATTGTCAATTTCAATAATCCATTGTTGTTCTGTTGTAGGAGGGTGTAATTTGTGATTATCAAATTAAAATGAATAAGCCATTGAGCGCAGATGATATTGCGGCCATGGAGAGCCAGTTGCGGGACTGTGTGGCGGAAGACAGAAAGCACTGGCAGATCAACGATGTGAAATGTGATGCCATTCACACTGCCAAGTCTTATGAGGAGTTTGCGTGAGTATCTATCTGAATAGTTTTAACACTGTTATTTACTATTTACTTAAACGGTTTACGGTGACTGGTATACAAAACTACCCTACCAATTGTACAGGGAGGGAGTGGTTTTACCTATGAAGATTTTGTGCAGTAGGGTTAGCTAACAGAAATAGCTAACTACAAGTTAGTTGTGTGGACTGTAGTGGTGGCTCAGCCATAATAGAAAGAGAATTACCCCCACTTTTCCCGTGGATGTCGTAAGAGGCGATCAAGGGAGATGAAATTTAAATTACATTTTTATTTCAGGGACCGCGTAGCAGCAGCGCACTTGCGACCTTTGGAGAAAAGTGACTTTAAGAACAAAGCCAAAAGAAGCTGGAACCAGTATGCAGCGAAAGAAAAGGAAGACCAAGAATAGTGGCATATTGTGTTAATTATAACGTGTGGTTCAGTATTTATTTAGAATTAGAATGCACCATTTAAATACAGAGGTGTTATGATCTTGAACACTTTTTGTTTTAATTTTATAAAAGTTAAGATCACTGGAGTTAACTTTTCAGCATCAGAGAAGAAAAGAAAGATCGTTGTTTATGATTTTATTTTTTTACATTCGGTATAATGATCAAAATATATTTTTACAAAGTTAGGCAAAATTTAATTAACAATTATTGATTTAATAACTAGTGTGAATCATAAAAATTATCAAAAATCGAATTTAAGTTACTATAAAATTGAACTCTACATAGCTGTTACGATGTTACATACCTAGTTCCTAATAGTTGCGGACTCAGTGGTGGCATGCATGCATGGAATATGAATGTTACTCGCTTGTTCCTAACGAGTCACACCAAAACGAGTAACCTGTTACTCTTTGGGAAAAAAAAAACCCATCCAGTCACGTCCAGTCACACCCCTACCTACTCGTTAACCTGTATTTTCTTACTGTAAGCTTTAGATTACTTCATTATTTAGATATTTTATGTATTTTGTACATTGTTTCTTAAAAAAAAAAAGTATAAAGTAGTATATCCGTTAAGCTAGCACCCATAACACAAGCATTAAGTTGCTTACTTACTTTGGGGCTAGCTGGCGCTGTGTGAAATTGTCCAAAGATTTATTATATTTATTTATTTATTATTTATTATTCTTATGATCAGTAGGTACCAGTGCGATTCGTTGCGATTTTATTCCCAACGAGTCGCACGTCTGGTACCTACTCGTAACAGGGTTACTCTTTGGGAACAAACAAGCGATGTTACTAAGCAACTGTTAGGAAGCTTATGCTTTGCTCTTGGGGTTGGACATGAGGATGATGATCTCGATCTTGGTGTGCGTGCTCTCCTTCTTGGGGTTGTAGAAGCGGCGGTCGTTGCGGTCCATGGCCACCAGCGGCTTGGAGAACCAGCCGTATCTGTCAATAAATATTATCCAAGCTTTTATTTGACTAGTTCAATCGGTTCAAATATGATGCACCATAATCGTTTGCCAACCTGGTAGTTATTTATTATGTTCTTAAGCATCATCTGTAAGGGAGTCCGAAGTAAGACAAGTTGTAAGACAGATACATCACACTGGGAAATATGCACTAGCATTAGGGCTCGTGCACTCTACGTTTTTTAAACGCGCCAACGCCAACGACGCGCGACAAGTGCGCGCTTTTTTCCTACAAACGTCCATTAGTTTGGTCTGACTTTCGTTAGTAATCGTCAAAAACGCGCGTCGACGGCGCGCTTAAAAACGTTTGGGTGCATAGGGTTAAGCCCAGTGTCTAAGTAGCTCAGTTGGAAGAGCAGTCGCCCGGCAAGCGGAAGGTCGTGGGTTCAATTCCCGCCTTAGGCAGTTCGATTTTTTCAAGTTATTTATAATTTTCAAATTAGTTTGAGATGCGACTCTTAACGCTAAAAATTAAATAACTATGTAAGCCCATATATTTCCCAAAAGGATAATAGTTGGTTAGCTTCTCTATTTCTGCGAGACTGCTTTCATCGAGCAATTGATTAGGATTACTCTCATCAAATTTTGTGTCAAACGTTTACACCATGTTCTCCGTAGCCGGCGTGGGGTACTTGCTCTTGGGTCCTTTAGCCCTGGTCTGCGCCACGTTGCGGTGGTAATCGTCTACCTTCTGCGTCTGCTCCCTGGACTCTGCCTTCAGCTGGTCGTGCGCCGCGTAGAATTTCCCGGTCACCGGGATAGCTGGGAGATGAAACTATAGTTGAGCATGTAGCCCAGTTGAGATTAGGCCCACAAAGTAAAGGCAACTGGGTAACAAGGATTATAAAACTGTGTCTCTATCTTATCTTCTTGGATCTAATCTTGAATGGGTTTTTATTGGCGGTCAAGCTGTAGATCCTGGCACACAGGAGTAGCAGTGATGGGAACGAGAGGTGGGAATAGTCTCGTATCATTGTAATCGAAATATTAAATCACACACGGCTTACCTAAATTGTTAATCGATTCTGATATTATATTTTCTCAGTTTTTTACCTATGAGAACTTGCCCGAAGAAACCGAAATTAAAACTACTTACCTCAGGTTGATTTTGCTAATTCACTATTTATTACGAGGTTTTAAATTAGGATCATCCTTTGAATTTAAATAATTATGGTAGAGCTTATTTTCTCAGTTTTTTATCTATGAGAACTTGCCCGAAGAAACCGAAATTAAAACTACTTACCTCAGGTTGATTTTGCTAATTCACTATTTATTACGAGGTTTTAAATTAGGATCATCCTTTGAATTTGATTATGGTAGAGCTTCTGAAGTTAACTAAAGATAGATGTACTAACATCCAAAGTTGGGGCGGTATATCTTGTAGTTCCTGAAGTGCTTCACCTCCCGGTAGATAATCTCATTCAGCATGTGGATTTCGATCGGCATCCGAGTGCCGAACGTGCACTTGCCTGCGTCCGGCATGGTGGCTCACTCTAGAAGAGTGGATGAGTGAGATTGAATTATTTAAGGAAGTTTATAACTGCTTTATCTGCGTTCAAAAAACACCCTCTATAACCGATACGCGATACTAAATCGGTACACTTAATGTGCGCACATGTCTTTGTTGATTAACGGGCTAACAGCCCGAATGCTTTTCTATCTTTCGCTTTATATCATAAAATAATGAAGTAACTCGAATCATAGTCATCGTAGTCCTGCTACGACTTGGCTACGACTAGATACCACAACCCTCAGAATACGGAACAAACCAGAAACCGTCAACGGGCGTAAATGTGTATTCATATAGAGTACTCCAAATCGCACTAATTTGACTTTAGAGCAATCAGTCAATGGCCGGCGCGCGCATTGTTTACATATCCGTCAGATTGACACTTAATAATTAAATTATGCCGTCTTGTGCCGTTCCAACATGTAAGAATGCTACTGGAATTACGAAGAAAGTGCATGGGATCATGTTTTATCCGTAAGTAGCACATTTCCAATTCATTTTAATTAAATAATAATTTTCAAAAAAAATCACGGTTGTATTTTGTAAGTGTTGCCACAGGTCAACGGAATATTTTACCCTACTTTTTTATATTGAATTACATTTGTCTACTTATAAAAAATTCACGCGTTAATTTTGTTAGCGTTACCACAGAATAATGGAATATTTTCCCCATCCTTTTTGTTTTAATTAGTTTTTAGTGTAATTTCATCCATGACATGACAACCTGATTAATTAAATTATAAGTGCCACTTGTGGTCTAAACTGAATAAATATTTTTGATTTTGATTTGATTTCAATATATTGAATTAATTTATAATATTACTCCCTAATAATGAGGAGATAATAAATTACTATCGTGAATTTCATACTTTCCCATTTATTCAAAAGTAAGGCATTGGTATCAACAGATCAGCAGCAGCAATATTTGTATATTTAATAATAATTTTAAGTAATTAATTATTGCTTACATACTTACTCTGATTTTTCATTCAAAAACTACTGTGCATTAACACTTCAAATTTGGCTCATGTGTTGAGACTTGTAAGATAAACATCAGCTTCAAATTTCATAAATATAACTCAAACGGTTATTTAGGTATTGACGTTCAAAAATCGACATTTAGAACACTAACATCTATCTATAACATGTGAAATGTTAAAATTTACTGGTTTTTTATTTGTTCCTTTGTATTTACATAACTACCTTTCTGGATGCCAAATTTAAACCTTCGATGTCATCTGGAAGTGGTTAGAATTTGGTCTATAGGTCAAACATGTAGATTTTTGGACGTCAATACCTAAAGAACCGTTTGAGGGATATTTGTGAAATTTGAAGCTGATGTTTATCTTACAAGTCTCAACACATGAGCCAAATTTGAAGTGTTAATGCACAGTAGTTTTTGAGTGATGAGGAGTCAAAAGTGGCTCAAAGTGGATCGTCTAAATATACGCACGGTGCAGTCCCCTCCTTGGAACTAGGCTTAACATGCTCCCGCATGTCTAGAATGATTGCTCAATGTTTATTTAGTCGATTTTCTCCTGATGGGAACATGTAAGACATAAATAAAATTTCCAATATTACAGACCTTCTAGAGCAGATGCCGCGAAAACTATACAATTTATAGAAAAACTTGATTATCTCACCTGTAGCAAATTGAATATGCTTTTTTTGGTTCAAAGTAGTCATGTCACTAGGACGCATAGTTTCCGAGGATTAAGCGAAAAACCGAAAAGTGGCACCTTTAAACCCCCCTCTCCCCGCCGGCTCAAGGGCTAAGGGTGGGGACTTTTACTATGTTCACCTCCTAACTAGTCTAAATAAAGTCCTGAAGTCAGAAATTGTGTTCTACAGTTTTCCATCTATAATGCTTTATTGACTGGACTACTTATTGTTAGAAGTAAATAAATTAATACTTATACATTTTTATATTTTACTTGGAAGAAGATATGACTCCAACAACACTTATGTACACTTTATTTGAATAAATCGCCAAATACACCACCGCGGAGACCCCAATCGCGTCTCTGCGTGCCATTGAATCGTATGAGCGTACGGATTTTTTGAGTTATTTTTCACAATTTCCATTTTTAANAATTACATAATTTTACCCCAAAAATGGGGGTGTCACACGGCGCTAGTAACACTAAAGGGGGTAGAGGGGCGCGGGAGGGGAAGTATTTTGGACACAAGTTGGGGGGCGTCCATAAATTACGTGAGGCTTTTAGGGGGGGGAGGGGGTCAACAAAAACCTCACCAAATCTCACGTGGGGGAGCGGGGGGGTCTCGGGAAATATCACGTATTTTTTTCCCCAAGAAATAGAGAAATAGAGTTTACCAGAAAACTGGGTTAAATCTTAAGTAAAAAAATTGGCCAAGTGCGTGTCGTGCCACGCGCAGTGTAGGGTTCCGTAGTTGTCCGTCGTTATCACAATATATTTCAGAAGTAAGCAATTACTTCATCTAAAGTCACTTTTAATATTTTCTAAGGAATTTTTATTAGGTATGAAATTTTATAATACATGAGTAAAACGACTATTACTCTTGAACTAACTGATCTATCTTAACCGCTATAGTTTTCCTTGAAAGTTCATAAAAAGCATTATAATCTTGAATTTTTCCAGATTTATCAAGCCAACAGTTTCGTTTTTAGTGGGGGAAACGCCCTACTCGGACAAAAATTGGCACTTTAAACTTTAACATATTGCAAACGAATCCCTAAATCGAAAAATGGTCTTAGAAACCCCCAAGCCATTTTAAAAGACCTATCCAACGATACCCCACACGATGGGGTAGAAGACGAAAAAAAAAACATCCCCACTTTACATGTAGGGGAGCTACCCTAAAAAATTTTTTTATGTCGGCGTGATTAATAAACATACCTCTACAAAATTACAGCTCCCTAGTGCCAATAGTTTCCAAGCAAAACCTCGGACAGACAGACAGCCAGACATATCGAAACTATATTAAGGGTTCCTTGTCAGGACTAAAAAATGATATTTGTATGATGATAATGTCATTTTATTCTATACAGTCTAAACAAATAAAACTAAAAATGCTTCCGTCTGCATGTGTGAATACTAAAATGCAGAATAAATGACGAAATTAAGAAAATTATAAAACAAGTTCTTTTTTTATCAAAATCGATTTTGCTAGATTAGTGATTTTGTAGAAAGGAACAATTAGACTAGGTACTTCTGTAAAAAAACAATGTGACCCTAGTACTAACCGCTGTCACTACACGTTTTTTTCTGGATCTATTTGTAATAAGTGGGCTTAGTGCGACTTTACACAATCGTCATCCGCTAGCGACTGCGTAAAAAATGACATACATTAAATGTATGATGATTGTACAGCGTCCCTAGCAGATACTTTCAAGAACTAAAATCTTTAACTTTATAGATCTTTTTGATGCACTCGTTAGCGACAACGTTACAGCACACAAAAAAAATGTTTCTCAGTTATATTACTCCAAAACTATTAAATTTCGGATTTTTTTTAATATCACGTGAGATTTGGGGGTGGGGGAGGGGGTCAGGCAAAATCTCACCAAATCTCACCAAGGGGGGCGGGGGGGTTGAAAAATAGCCAAAATTGTCTCACGTAATTTATGGACGCCCCCTTGCCGCGTAGAAATGTTATCGAACACTCCTTCTGGTTTGTTCTGTATTCTGAGCCACAACCTCACACCACAACAGTAGTTTGGAGGGAAACTTAACACAGGTCGGAGAGTACCTAAGAAAGTGGGTAATTACTTAGGTATTAGTTTCATAGCATAGTTTTACCTGTTTTTAAGCCTTACAAAATATGAACAATACAATTTTAAATAATTTTGTATAAAAAATATTGACGAAAACGTCTTGTAAGTCAAGGTGACTGATTTTACTGTCAAATTGACAAATCTAAATAAACATTTGGCATATTTGTAAAAAGGACGTAATATTTTTATGTGGTTGTTAATGTTTTTGTAACAGTATACAGTGTGTCCGGGCATGTAGTGATCAAACTTTAAGGGCGTAATCTATGGACAATTTTATCGATGAAAATACTTCAAATTTGGGGCCTGACCCATTTCTCGAAAAATTACATCGATTTAAGTTTTTAATTTTTAGTTTACACCTCTTCTTTAAAAAACAAGTGAAAGCGTGGGTAGCTTAACATAAAGAGGCAAATGTTTTATATTATGCGATAGCCAATAAAATTATCTATTAGTAGAAGAAGAAAACAGACACAAGTTTCATACATTTTATGGGAGTAAGAATGGATTTAATTAGAAAAATACATTACTTTTTTCACATTCGTTTTGTAGAATAGCTCAAATACTAATAATACAATGCAAATAAAACATACCTTAACGACCTGGTTTTTCTTGTGTTGGAAAATAACTGAAAAAGAAGTGAAAAAAGTAATGTATTTTTCTAATTAAATCCATTCTTACTCCCATAAAATGTATGAAACTTGTATCTGTTTTCTTCTTCTACTAATAGATAATTTTATTGGCTATCGCATGATATAAAATATTTGCTTAATAATGTTAAGCTATTCACGCTTTCACTTGTTTTTAAGGGAAGAGGTGAAAACTAGAAATTAAAAACTTAAATCGATGTAATTTTTCGAGAAATGGGTCAGGCCCCAAATTTGAAGTATTTTCATCGATAAAATTGTCCATAGATTACGCCTTTAAAGTTTGATCACTACATGCCCGGACACACTGTATAATCATCATCATCATCATCATAAGCCATAGGACGTCCACTGCTGAACATAGGCCTCCCCCAATGCGAATGTGATCATAGTGTAAATAAAAAAGCTCCTTATCATTTGTTAACCTTACAATAATTCCCGATTTCACATTGAACTTTATGCTTTTCCAAGTGTTTATTTAGCATTTTCGAACGACATTGTCTACCCTATGTTTCTTCTACATAGTTCTCCAAAATCTTGGCTTTCCATTTAGCCTGCCGGGTCCTCAGGCCGCAATCAACAAGTAGGGTTAATTTTAATGGCCGGTTAACCGGATTAACCCGGCCTAGCCGGCCAGATTGCACTGAGATGGCAGATTACCGGCCACACCTAGGTACCGGCTTACGGCAGGTATATTGTAGGAGGTAGGCCTTTCAGTTCAATAATGAAGGTAGTCCTTTTGGATAAGTACTAACACTGAAATTGCTTGTATTGATTTAATTTCGTGTACAGTAAATCCAACCAAATTAAACCAAACTAGTTCTAAAACATACAATTAAGTTTCATTCTAAAATATTCTTACTAAAAAGTATTGCTATTGGCGCAAAAATCACTCTTTATTTATCCCTCCAGCTTAGTACCTTACTCAATATGTTACTAATAAGTATACTTTGTGATAGGAGTGAATTAACTACAATAATCGAGCGGTCGTTGGACATCGGACTAGCGACTCTATCCAATGCCGACATCGTTGGGCGAACTTTACAATAAATGCAGGTATTTATATCGGTAATCGGCACAATACTTGAAACGGCAACCAGGAATGAGGTCATAATGAAAAATCTAATAAATGAATCGTCCTTCGGCTGGAGCTGTACTGAATTTAAAACCTTGATCGTTGCGCGCTATATCTGCCATTCTTCGTGGTAACGCGGCGCGCGTGAGGCGCCTTACGCAGGGATCACGGTGACAGGCGGAGAGGGCGCGGAAGCGATTGAATACCGCCTTACTTTATAAGTAATTTAATTTTACATTCTTAATCTTTCAACTTACTACTAAAATTAGGGACTTGAATAAGACAACCTAGGTACGAGACTACGAGGCTACGAGTAAGATATGATACTTACCAATGTTTAAAAGTTGTTTATACCCACCTCTCGTTTCCACCGCTGATACTCCTGTGTAGCCATAATTTATTGACCTCTAATCAACAGCCAAAAACTCAACCAGCAAAGGTCAAGTTTCGGAAAGCTAAACTGCCATTGGAGAGGCAACAATATTAATCAGCAGAACATAGGAAGAGTGGGAAGTTAAGGATCGACTTCCCTCCAGTGCCAAACGGATGAAAGATTATAAACAAAAGTAATAGTAAACTTTACAGAACACGTAGCTAAGCATTACTATGGGAACCTATCACGCACTTTGAATAATTTCATGTCCAGTACTTTCGATTTCAGTATTTTTTACCCGATGCGCCAGAAGGAAAGTTTTTCAGATCGTCTAGGATTTAAGACAAAATTAAATGTTTTTCTCATAAAATAATTAATTTTAAAAACAAACATCCTTATTACATTACATTACTTTCTCTTGCACCATGTGCGCTTCCTAACAAAAATTCCGATCGCCTATCGCATCGCGCGATATTGCGGGTGCGAAACGACGACGCTGACAACTATTTCATAAGACGTATAATTGGAATAGCCGCAAAATACCCCCTCTCCGCACCTTTTGTGGTAGGGGGGCCGCACTCGCGGCGGTTGAGACGCTGGAGCAATTGAGATTTTAGGAAACAGGTAAAAAGAACTTGCGCCTCCTCCTACTCCTACCTCTAAAGTTTGCACCTTGGGTGGTAGGGGGGCCGCACACGCGGCGGTTGAGACGCTGGAGCAATAGGCTAAATGACAAAATTATTATCTGTCTGACGGACTAAATAAATAGAATTTCGATTTCATTACCCAGTCATCATCCCTATTTAGATTTCAAGAAATAGGTGAAAAGAACTACCTCTAAAGTTTCAGGATGTTGATGTGTTCAGAATAGGTAGGAACTACTAACAAATACTAACAATACCATAACGTTTAAAAAAAATTAAACACTAGGTATGCTGCGCGCTATATTGCCTCTGAAAGTGGCTGTTCAAAGTATGATTATCAATATAGTCAAACATAAGAGTCCAGTTACTTTGAAATTCAAAAGAACTGCAGCTCCTATTTTGTGCTGCAGCGTAGTTTTTCGAAGTTAGATTACATATTAGGCATGTAAAAGTCTCAAAAAAGCACTGAAAATCACTTTTGTTACAAAAAATCACACACAACTAAGTAATACGTTTTACCTATAAGGTACAACGAATAAATAGGTCTCCGAGTTCTCTGTAGGCACAAACATTCGATCAGTGTGCCAATACCTCGTCGATGCACCCCTCGACCGAATGAGAGCCCTCGAGCCACGCGGGTGCTGCGAACATTTGCCTACTTACCTACCTACATCTTGCTCTCTTTATGCACTACTGTATTGGATTCATGAAAAGTAGTAAATCTCGCATAATATTGGCTGGCGATTTGAATATAAATACGCTTGTGCTATCACNGTCACTTTACTGTAGTACCTTAGGTGTCATTATTTTGTATGCACAAATCACACAAATACTACACTTTACAATGATTTTAATTGATTTCCTAGAAATTTTGACTAACGCCCTTTGTCAAAACCACTTTTGAGTTTTGACTGTTACAATAATAAATTATACCTACATAATATGAAAGACTATTGTAATGACAATTTAAACAAATTTAAAACACACTTGCGTTCTTTATCCTTCTCCGAAATATTAAATGAATCCGATGTTGATAAAGCTATGCATTCATTTCATAGTCTTTTTACAACAGTATATGACTTATGCTTTCCCAACAAAAAAATAAAACTATCAAATCAATATAAAAACGCACCTTGGATTACAAAAGGGCTAGCTAAAAGTTGTAAAACTAAAAGAAGGCTTAGATATGAATATTATTTAACAAAAACCACTCGGAAAAAGCATCAATATAGATCATACTCCAAGCTACTACGCCAGTGTTGTAAGCTATCACAAAAAATACAAAATTCAAAATTAATTGCTAAGGCTAAAAATAAGTGTCTAACTACGTGGAAAATAATAAAAAACGAAACACAAAACATAGATAACAATAGGTTTATAGATGAATTGAACGTAAATGGCAAAATAATTACGGATCCAATAAATATCGCAAATGAATTTAATAACTATCTTATAAATTTAACAAATATAACGGACAATAATAAACCGAAAACAAATACCAATAAAATTTGTTTACCAAATAGCATTTTTCTGGAACCATTTTGTCCAGATGAAATGAAAACTATTATTAGATCATTAAATAACACGAATGCAACAGGATATGATGGTATCTGTACAAAAGTAATAAAATCTTGTGCCGAAGAGCTAATCATACCTCTTACACATTTGGTAAATTTGTCGTTTAGTAAGGGTGTCTTTCCTGAGTTGCTAAAACTTTCAATAGTCAAGCCCCTTTACAAGAAAGGCAAAAAATCATCAGTTGAGAACTATCGCCCTATTACCCTAGTACCTGTATTATCCAAAGTTTTCGAAAAGGCCATGAAAAAAAGATTATTAAGCTTCATCATGCGTTTTGAATTATTCAAAAGAGAACAGTTTGGGTTTCAACATAATAAATCCACAACGTTAGCAATGTACCACCTTATAAATGAAATAAGTGAAAATATAAACTCTGGAATACCTGCTACTGTTGTATTTTTTGATATGACTCGTGCCTTCGATTTCGTTTCTCATGAGATACTGCTTGTAAAACTAGAAAATCTAGGAATAAGAGGATTAGCTCATGACTGGTTAGCATCTTACTTGAGAAATAGGAAACAAGCAGTTGAAATAACAAGTTTAGACAATAAAAAATGTATGACTTTGAATAAATCTAAATTTTTAACGAATGCATGTGGGGTTCCTCAAGGAAGTGTTTTAGGGCCAATATTATTTCTACTTTATATAAATGACCTTCCAGAGGTAACTACTCACAAATGTGTATTATTTGCCGATGACATATCCGTAATTATTCCCAGTAGTAAAAATATAAGAAAAAATGAAGAGGACATAAACAATACAATAAACAAAATAATAAATTGGTTA